CCAGTTGTTTTATGTTTCTTTTCGAAAATGTTTAGAAAAAATTTGCCATAGAGTACCACAAGATTTCATTCTGTTGCATCATGGCAGTCGTGGTGACAACCAAGCTAAAACACATATCATTTTATAGCTAAGGTGTTTATCTGTAGAATGGCATATCTCTCAGCTCTATTGAACATTTCTATGAACTTTTCGCTACGATTAAAATAAAATGCTTATAACTATTGAAGGATTGAACGAGAGCACAAATGGTTTTCAGATTCGTAATCAGCATTCTTAAATTAGCAAAGTGGGATACATTGCTTTGAAATCCCAGGGAAACACCTGGGGACCTTCCCTCGTTAGTTTATGAAAAGAAGTCAAAATGTTTTATCATCTTGTCAAATGTTCTCGCATTTAGATTTTTTTTTCCCGTATGGATAATCAACTTACGCATTAGCTATAGTTGTTGTTGTTACAGTTGTCGGAATTGTTTCTTTCACATTTTGTGTTAAATGCTTTCCACCATGAGTTGCTGTTGTTGTGATCGAGGTTTGAGATGTTGTCGTTGTATGTATCGTAGTTTCACTGGGAGCAACGCTGACGACAGGTGTGGCAATCCCATCATTCACTTGTTGGATTTTACTACGGACTGCAGTTGCCTCAGTGCCTGATGCTAAACTCGATTTGGAAAGAGATTCAGTAGCACCTGCTATAATACTTCCACCGTTGCTCGTTTTTCGTGGAGGTTTTTGCTCATCACTTGTAACCGATAATTTACGTTGTGGATAAGGCACTGGTAAACTTATGCCATGATTAGCAGCGTTACCTAAAATAGAATCAAGGTCACATCTTCAATCAATATCTGTGAAAAGCATCCAACCTCTAGTTCTAGTACTCAAACGGTTTTCTGACTAACTATACTTCTATTAGGTAGGATAAATGAACACTTCCTTTTTTTTCTTGATTATAACGGCATCGACTCTTTTTCTTTCGCTCTATAATCTGGTTATTAATAACAGTATAAGGTAGTAATTATCATTCATACAAGATTATATGAGGTTAACAATATTCAAGATAATACTAATTGAGCCTCCTCCCCGCTCAGGAATGATGATTCTCGGTCAGAAAATCAATTTTAAGATAAGCACATGGAAAGAAAGCCTGAAGTGTCTACTTTCAGAATCTGTATCGCTTTCTGTCCTAGAAGTGATTTTTCATGACTTTCGAGAAAGTTCTCTAGGAATCTCGAAAAACAGGATCTTCAGATAATAGCTTTTTCCTTATGCAATTAAATTTTTTTCTGAACACGTAGATTTGTAGAGTAAACTTTTCTGTTCAATTTAAGACCTCGCACAACTCTGTGTGACCTTGCATCAAAAAGTCACGAACATTTTCCTACAAGTCCTAAAATGGACCAACCGATGCAGACCGTTTTCTCTACATGAGATTCACACCTGAAGTTTTTCCCAAGATTTTTTAATATACTTCAAACTTGAGAGTTCGAGTTTGTTTTATTTTAAACTAGACACCTAGCTACAAGGGCTGATCGACGCCGATTTTCTGATTAGTTCTTAGTTTTTTGTCAAATTGAGGATTTCTAGAAAACCAGAAAGCGCTTTTAAGATTGTTGGCTGTCTAAAAAACTAACAAAGGTTTAAGTGAAAAACTGGCCCATGTAGTTAGCTATCTAGTTTAAAATAAACAAACCCCAGATCTCTAGCTTAAAGTATATTAAAAAATCGTGGGTAAAACTTCAGGATCCTTTTTCAATCTTGATCTCTGGAAAGCTTCTGAACAGTAAGACTTAGAGACAAAAAAATTTTCATTCCCGTAACTCATTGCGCCTAACATTTATGGAAAGTTTCGTCAGAATCGGATGTACGATGTCGGAGATACTTTCTGAGGGGTGAGGAGCCTTTATAAGAAAATACATGCAAATAAATTCTATTTTATATTTATTTTCTTGCATTTGTTACAAATAATTAATAATAATAACAATAGCATAGTTATTTTCCCTTTCTCTCTTTCTCTACTCTTACCCGGTTTCAGTATTGTTTTGAAAATGAGATAAATGGAAGCCATTGTATAAAAGATAACTACTACAACACTATTATAACTCCACGATATAATAGACTTTATTGACGATTTAGCATCTGTAGTATGCAGCACTAGACAGAACGAACAGAACTACAAGCATGCTACAGAGCAAAAATATTGTGCACAAAGCAAAAATATATACATTTTGATTGTTTACCTTGCTGCTGATCACCACTGTTTGTTGACGTTTTACGTTGTTGACTAGTAGTGGATGAAACATCATCACTTCCAGACGGTTTTCGATGACTTGAATTAGCTAAAAAGTAACAAAAAATTTTAAAATGTATTCATTATTCTTAAACGCATAAACAAACCTTCTGTCTTCTCTTGGACTATTGTAAGTTCTTTACCTGACGATGTTTTTCGTTGTGTTGATGTTGTTAACGAGGTGGTTGAGGCATGAGCTGTTTTAACTTGAGCATCTAGAAAGAAAGAAAAATTAGGTGAAACCTTTAAACTAGGTAAAAATTCATAAAGTTAAAAATATTAGTTAACTGTATGTGGTAGTGTTTCTTAGTTTAAGCAAAATATTAAAAAAACGAATACGTTCTTGTTTTTGTTCACAAAAGCCACTCTTGAATGTATCTTATGCATGTAAAAGCGGTCAAGACAGATCTTTTACGAAATGATTGTACAGTTTTACATTTAACTTTTGCATCTAATTTATTGTAATCATAACAAGTAGTTTCTAAACTGGAAACGGTCCAGCAGTTCCCGATCGAAGGAAGTAGAACTGATGAACCCCATTCCTTGCTCCTACAAACATGAACTTGGACCGTTCTTAGTTCAGCAATGGGAACTGTTTTTCAGTTCCCGCTCAAAGAATGAAAATCTTGAATTGGCACAGATATAACAGAAACTACCTATCAACTGAACGAAATTATCAAATATCTCATTATCGAATATTAATCAGTCATTTTCAAGCCAAAAAGGCCAAATATGACTTTGGTACATCTGTTATTAGCATTTAGAATTAACAGCATGTGATGCCGGTATTCAACGACATCTACAAGATTTACAGTAATATGAATACACAGTTTACTCAAAGTAAAATGTTTGTGTTGATAGATCAATTGTTTTTCTCATTATTAGCATATATGATATTACTATAAACAAAAATCCAATGCGATATTGATAAAAATCAATTTGGCACTGGTAATACGCAAGGATGCTAATGAATTGTCGTATGCAACCAGCATTGAAAAAGGCTAATGCGTACTGTTGCCCAGCCTATGAGAATAAGTTCCAAATTGCTATTTAACATCAGTTCATACTCGTATAAGAGTCCGTAACTAAATATTTCTCTTTGTAGGAATCTCGCTTTTATAGGCTGAGAAGCAAATCAAGTACAGAATATTCAATTCATATTTCGTTTTCTGGAAAAGAAATCTTCATACGCCGGATCTCTCTCTCCGGCTCGGAACAGCTCTTTTCATCCATCAGATGAAATGAACTGAAATTATTACAGCGACAATCATTGATATCCAAAAGAAAATCCATAAGTGCATTTTCTTTTGATTGTAACATAGGCGTATATTTCTCTTATCCTATATTAATATAATCTACCATTAATTCAAAACTTCTAAAAAACAACTTTCTTAGTTGAATAGTATTTTTTATTTGATCAACAACGATACTATAAATACCTACATACCATACCTAAAACGTCACATGCTGTACGACCAAACAGATCCCCCCATCCATATGCATGTGCGTTTTACGAAATTTTTATTGCAAAAACTTCAAAAAAAATAAATGCCTCTATTAACAGAGAGATAAATATAAATCATTAAACGATTTATATATCAACTAACCAATCGACAAAAATGAGATTGATTGGTAGAAAATAGTAGATAGTGATAGAGAATGTGTATGTGAATGGCATGCAGTTAATAAGTGATAGAATAATAATAAAAATTAATAAATTAGCAACTATTAATTATTCATCTAATTATATTATATTAAAAGAAAAAACAGAACCCAATAATCATATTTGGTTTTTTCAATCATATTCGTCATTTTTCTTCGTGCGTACCTAGTTGTTCTTGTTGTGTTTTTGTTACATCAGCTGGAATTTGTCTTTCATCTTCGTTTTGCGGCAATAATCCAGTTGTTGCTTGTTGTTGCTGTTCATTATTATTAGGTCGTGAAGCATGTTTTTGTTGTCTTTGACCGTTTGATGCTGATAATGGGCGTTCATGCGTTTGTGGTGTCATGGCAATATTCTTATCTAATTGTTCTTGAATTTTACTATATGAATCACGTCCGCCATAATCGACGTAACCTGCTTCCCAAGCACGTCGATGAGCAGCCGAACCGGATTCAATACCCTGCGTTAATGCGCTATAATTTAATGGACCAGAACGCTAGAAAATAAACAAACAAGAATGAGCTATTAGTCAGAGTACAAATAAACGTTTTATAGTAATACAACATGCAGCAACCAAACATATATAAACATCTTTTCTTTTAAGAAAACAGATCATCGCAGACGTCAAGCTACAGATAATGTCATCATAATACGATTTTAGTTGCAACTCTTCAGTAAATCTTAAATTTTAGTATTTTGTTACAAGTTGAAGTCAGGAGTGAAACCCAATGTACTGCTGTCCAACAATATGCTAGTTGGCTCTGAAATTTTTTCTGTAATGCACTATGACTCTTTCTGAAGACGCTAACACTATAAAGTGAGAAATTTCTAGTCTTCTCGGGTTTTTGACAACTCGAATTGGCATCTCTTTTTTAGAAAATGATCAATCTTATCAACCTTGGAAAACCGTCAATTAAAACATCTCCAGAATATCATGTAGCTCTAATAGATGAGTTTGTCGTTACAGTACAGAAAAATTAGTTAATATTTTTGTGTCAAACAGATACAGTCGTATATGATATAAAATAAACGTAATAACTATAATGATGATAAACTGGCAATAGTACAGAAACAAGAAAATATGCCATATCTGTCTATTTTCATCTTGAAAAACAACAACAACCCCATAATAGTCTACATAACGAAAAAACTGTTTTTGTTAATGATTAATTTTTCTTTTTCTCTGACGTAAATCAACAAACATTACATGATACAATCTTCTTTTAAGAGCGCAAAACTGGGCTTTATGGTACATTTTACAGTCACAAACTAGGAACAAGTTCTTCTCTGTATACATCTCTAACTTCACATTGTCAACGTGATTCTTCAATATCGAAAAGTGCACTTATTTTAACACCTATTATCTTAATTTGTGTCTTATCAAACTACTAGTATAACTTTCATGTAAAAACATGTTATTTCTGTGATTCATATGATTTGTCTTATATAAGAATTCCCCCACAAAGTTGTGAAATATACGTTTCACAGTTCACACTCACATAGTAGAGAATATTGCCTTTCTTAACGATGTTACAGCTAGGAATTCACTTCATTAAAAAAACTCACATGCGCTGTACTTTACCATTTTACACATACTACAATACATGCTCAATAGCAATACATCAAGATTCAGAGACTTTTTAAAAGTACAACGTCAGTACCCTGTCTTATGAACTAATACAGATGGTACACGTGAATATAGCTAATGTAATTATTCACTTAAGAAGAGAAAGAGTCAAGAATAACCGTTGATTAGTAGTAGAACTTGTAATCATATGTTGACACTAAATCATGGCAATAGTGACACTTATAATTTTATCAACTGCAAACTACAAACTTCTTGAAAAAATAGAATAAATCTATTAAAAATAGATGGTTCAAGGCATCTCTACAACAAAATATTTTATCGGCACTGGTTGTGCGCGGATGCACACCTGTACTGAATATTTTTTTTTTTCTGGGCACCGATGCGCATCAGTGCCAGAAAGACTGTAAAAATCTTGCACCGATACACACCAGTGCTGAAGTTTTGTTTTTAATCACCATTTTGTTTTGTCGATTTCTGTCTATATTAACACCACAGTCTATTTCTAATATTTCGAATGTCTTTCTGTTTTCATCTTTTTCTTCTAGTAAGAGAAGTGCCGAGGCAATACTGCATGATTTTGACATGTTAATGTAGTACTGATTAGTGCCGCACTCTAATATAAAATTCAGTATAAACAACCATAATAAAAAACTAATTAAACTGATTACTATAAATTTCAGTACAGTACGGATTTTCATCAGTGCGGCACTTTTTTGGCATAAATATATCGGCACTTGCTGGGCACCGGTGCCCAGCCAGTGCCAGTAACCGATGGTATGCCATGCCCACTGGCAGTGCCGTACTGGAATTTTTTTTGTAGGGTTTTCCTTCATGCTACCGTTGATCTTACAAAGTTTTTCTAATATTATTATTGTTAAATTCGGTTGATTTTCTCCTAATTTTGGCGTTAGTTTAATAGTACTGCTTTTCTAAATGACGCGGTTCTCATCTGTTTATTCATTCGTTGCAGCAAACATCGTTGGAGGATTAATTAAAAATGTCGGATAATGCTTACTCTAAACAACTATTCTATCTTTCATTAATCGCTTGAAATGCAAATGACTGTCACTAGTGGTAAGACAGAGGTAGAACTAATAGATTTATTTCTGATGTGTACTTTATTTCAACACTGTTTGATATCAAAATTAAGTATCAGCTATACGAGGAAATGAGCTTAAGACTATGGAATATGTGCGATAACTGCTAATAATTAGTCTCCATAACCAGTGTTAGTCGATTAAACAAGGAATTACCTGAGTAGTTTGTTGACTGAATGATGTGGGCGTCTAAATGAATTGAATAATAGACATGCATAATCACGGCAAACCATGCTATTTTCTAAGCATTCAAACACATTATACATACGGTATTTAAAGATGATAAATTTGGCCATACAGTTTCATACATCAATGCCCACCATTTTAGTAGAAAATCACGTTCGTGTGATTGATAACAACCAGATAACTGTCTAATTTGAGGATCGTATGTTAGTTGCCATGGTTTGAGTGTACCAGCAAAATGCACAATACGAATATCAGAACGAAATCTAAACGATATATACAGAGAGGAAAATTAAGCGAGTATATATAATTAAAGCATGCCGATAAGCACTCAAAATATCAAAAAGTAAAATAAGACGTTAAAATAGGCAAACTTTGGAAGTATCATCTATATTTAGTATGTTACTGTAGACAGAATACTAAAGATAGTTACAGATTAGAAAAAACATTTTATGTCTAAAAAGGAATCATCTACGAGAAAAATCGAATGTATATAAAGTAAAATTGTTTATTTAATACAAATTTTTAGCTATAAATCCATTGATATAAAAAACAAGACATATACTCACTGATTAATGGCTGGGACATAAGAATAAAATGTATTTGATGTAACATTGTAAGTAAACGGTAAATGACGACTAATATCAGACCGTGGCCAAGATGAAAAGAATTTATTCAATAAACCTTGATCACCACCTAAAATAAACAGAGGAAAAACTCTCTGTTATTATGCTATCCAAAGTAAAGAATGTAAAATCATATGTTACGATGTATACCATCAAACGATCCTTGTTCTGAAGCAAATGTTACTAATTTTTGAAATGTATCTTTTGATGGTTTAAAAACAAATACTCCTGAATTGAAAATATCTGGCCATCCAGCATCGGGTGCAGCTGATAATTCTTCACGTTCAAATAGATCATCAACAGATTGTAAGACCTAAACAAAAGAAAATTGTGTTAGAATTAAAGAGAAAAAGCGTCTAAAATCTTTTATAGTACTTGATATTGTTTTTCTTCGTTCAGTTACAACTATATCAAATACTAAAAAACAAAACTTACTAGACAATCAGCATCTAAGAAAACACATTTCTGATATTGTGTAAGAGTCCAACAGTGAAGTTTTGTAAATGTTACGCCCAATTCTGGTCGTTCTAGTAATTTTAAATGAGCAGCATCTTTACTATCTAATAAATTGACAACAATCACTTCATCGTATGTTGACTCCAAATTTTCTCTAGAATAATTCGAAACAGATCGATTATGACTACATGCGTTCTTCAAACGAAGAAACTAATGAGATTTTCCCAAAACCAAAAGTAAAATCTGTAAAAATAGCTCAGAAAAGACAAGTAGACGTAGAAGAACTTCTTAATGAAATAGATTATTATCTTTGAGTACAGAAATGATAGGGATGCAGAGGCAACCAGACACTTAAATAGCTTCTTTTTCGACAAATAAAATAAAGTATAAAGACTTCACTGTACTTTCTAAATAAGAGTTTAGTAAGAGAAATAGGTTTTTCATTTGTTATTAAACTCCAAGGATTTTTTGTAGTCATTTTCAAAAATGATTTTTGTCTAAACTTTGTCTAATCTTTGAAAAGGATTTAGTAAAATGAAACTAAACAGAATCCCTTGGAGTTCTATAGAGCTACTAAATTCAAAAAGAGTTTAATAAGAAAGGTGGATTGTACAGAAAAAAAGCTTTATTAGATCGTTTCCAAAATCCTTTGGGTTTAGTTACAGAAATGAACGTCTTCTTATGTTTTTTTTTTTAAAAATGCACTGTTGTTTAAGAAGTAGGTCAAAAAAGATAAAAGAATTTGACTCTGCAAAAAATTCATTCTATTCTACATTCACATTCTGTTATTTATTAGTTTTTTTTTTTTCCTACTTTGTTTCAAATCAATATTTACTCAAATCTTGTTAGGACTAAAATAACAGTTCTAACGAATTTTGTAGAGCTAAAAATTCTCTATTTTGTTTTTTTTGAGTCTACAGTGGAGTTTTAAAACTGTATTTCATTCTTTGAAAAACAAATGACAAAAGTGTCCTGTTTTCTCTCTATATCAACCGTTATCTTACCGTACTAGACCCGAAACATGATCCGTAATCATAACACATAATTTTTTATTTGTTCCAACTTTTTTTAATGATTGTCCTAATACTAGTGCACCTAAAGCATATCCATCTGTGGTTGCCAATGTCACAAATGCTTCAGACATTTTTGATGGTTAATAATTAATAACTAAAAATAAATAAAAATCTAAATTAATTAATTTTAATATAATTTGAACAAAAAATAAACAAACAAGATTTAAGAAAAATCTCTAATTTCTATGAATATATCAGAGACATTTTTATAACATAAAAAAAGTAGAAATAATCTTATACTTTTTAAATATTAGCTAAACAATTTAATTTAATATTCTACTATCATCAGGATACATATTCTATCTGAGATTTAAAATTATTATTTTTTTCACTTCTTTTATCTGCATCATAATTAAATTTTTTGTAAAAATTTATTATTTTACAATAGAAAAAAATTTTATTTTGTATCAAAAGTCCTGGTTTTTTTATTCAAGAAAAATTATGATGCAATTAATGCGAAAAAAATAAAATAAAACTTTAATTAGAAAATTTTGACTTTTACTTATAATAAGACACAAATGAAGTAAGATTTTGTTATTTATATCGAAATAATGCATCGTAATTTTAATGGGATCTACAGATCAGTAACTGTATGTGTTTCTCGAGGATCTCTCTCTCTCTATACTAATTATCATTCGAGTGTTAAGAAAAAGAAAAAGATAAAGAAATGAAATTTTGTCATCTTACGAAAAAAGTTTTAACGTATATTGTAAAATAATTTTGTGTTGTTGAATCTATGTAATTTCGTTTTTATTGTTCTTCTTTTTGAAGAAAAATACTACTATTACGACGCACTTTTACAACAACAACAACAACAATGACAAAAGAAAAAAAGATAAACAAAAATGCACAAAGTAATACTAATAATAATTTGCCTAAGATATAATAATAATAAATTTAAATATATTAGTTTTAAATTTTGAATAAAAAAATTAGGTCGTAAATTAGATACGTTAATACCCAAGAAAATACGATTTATGTGTGTATGTAAAAACAAGTAGAAAAAAATAGTAAAAGAATTGGAAAAAACTCGTACGATACACTATCTAATATATATGGCCTGTTAGATAAAGAATAAACGAAAAAAATGGAGTTGATTTTTAGACTGATGATGTATAGGACTAAAAGAAAGACCATCACATCGACGCATGTATAGTTTGTACTCTTCTGTTTGTTATTCCAACTAGACTATAATGAATGCCACATGTTTACCGCATGAAAGATATATAATTTATTTCCGATATCTACTATTTTTCTTCTTTCTAAACTCATCGTTATTTACGTTATGTATTTTTGGTTTTTTTTTTTTTTGGTTTTTTCTTATCGTAGTATTATCTTTCCATTTTTCTTCTTTTTTTTTCTTTTTGTTGTTCTTGTTCTTCTTCTTTCATAATGACACTTTACATAAAAAGGCTAAAAATAAAACACAACATGCCATCTATGTCAAAAACAATTTCAATCGATAATCTATTTTATATACTCAGACAAAATGATACATCAACAAACTCTTCCATTTATCTGACATTCAAATGATTGTAGTTGATTAAGACGGCCTTTTAACAACACATCTCACATCAAAAATCAACATTAGATTCTAGAATTTATCACAATTATTATGGTGATCTTTTAATGCTTTTTATCACCGATTAACTTCATCTCATTTCATCCTACGCTTAACAACAATAAAGATCTTCTGCTGAGATAAATATATCACACACATACAAACACAAAAAAAAAGAAAAAACAATACGAGAAAATAAAATGATAAATAAACGATGTTAATATCTGTGAATAAATCGTCAACATTTAGACACCTTACGTTCTTGTATCTCAATCAGTAAATATTGAATTACTAATCATAATTTTGAAATAATTATTATATAAATTATACAAGACAATTTTATTTATATTAGAAAAATGAAATTTATATTTTCTCTTGCAATAGCTAATAGTTTTAAGATGAAATTGTAAAGTTAATTCAGTCAACTAAAATAACAATATTCTTTTGTATTATGACTTATTATGGGTCATTATCAAAGTCAATACAAATAATTTGAACAGAAAATGAAAAATTGAAATGAAAGAAAAGAAAATATTTGTTTATTAGACACATCGTATTCGTTAACATCTTGAATTTGATTTAAGTTATGAAGCTAAATTCTCTTCTTATGATGAAATGTACGTTGGGACAACGTTTCGACACTTAAAAATAAGAATGAGTATTTGAAAGATTAGGAAAAATTATAATGAAACCAAAAACATCTAAGAAACAATATTGTCAAAGTGTCATCTAGAATAGTGACCATCAAAACATCAAATATTTCTCTTACACGATGTAATGCCGAAGATCAACAACACAAACCATTGCCTCAAACTTGAAACATATGGATTATGATATCTTAATTACTATTACTGACATATGTGATGAAATTAGAGAGAAATCATTTTAAAGACACGGGACATAAATTTACACCCGATTCTTTTACTTGAAAAACACATACAAATTTTTATTGAAAGAGTCACTGACCAGAAGGACTGTTAGTTTTGTGTTAATCTGAACAGATTCATTATATGTCTCTACTGGAAGAGTGAATAGTGCGCGGTTACCAAAGAGTGCAGTAAGTGTTGACTAGTGATATTAAGACTTATATACATTACTGTTGAGACTCTCTACTCAATTTCTACTCGACAGTGATGTGACCAATAAACGAGTATTTTTCTTTACTTCATTTCAATTTTTAACTTTTTTCATTTTCTGTTAATACTAGAATGCCTGTAGCGGTCGGTCATTTTGACCGTTCTTTGATTTTTAGCCCTAATGAAACAAATTGCATGCAATTTACTTAAAAATAAATTATGTCAAAACTTTTAATTTGTCCCATAAAAATAAATTTTTGCAGAATTTTTAATTTATTTTTGAGTTCAGAACCGTTTTTAATTATAAAATTAAAAATGAAAACAGTAATGGTCAAAATGACCGCTTTGGGCGTTCTCGGTCATGAAAATTTCCAGGTATTCTAGTGTTAAAGTTATTTGTATATTGACTTTGATATTGAAATACTGTTACAATACAAAAGAATATTGTCATTTTTAATGAATTAACTTTAGAATTTATCTTAAAAATGAAACCTGTGTAAAGACGTAAATAAATGCGGTTTGGTAACATGTGGTTTTTATTCAATAATCGAAAAAAAATTCTTATTGGTGTTTTTTCTTTTTGTATAAGAAAAAAAGATTTCACTTCCAGAGAAAAATTTGTGTTATCTTCTTTTCTTTTCTTCTTTGGCCCATAAACGCATAGTTCTTTTTTTTTTGTTGACAAGTATGTGAAAACACTTGATATTGCTCGAGATAGCTAGTTATTGTTTTACGTATGTTAAATAGTATCTTAAATTTAATTTAAAAAAAAAATGCGTATTTCACTCGAACTCAAGATTAAATGACGTTTAACATTATACTAATATTTTCCCTTTTTAGTAACAATTTTTTAGTTTTTTCAATCATCTATCAAAATTATCCACTTGGATAAGTGATGATAAAAGTTTCAAGTTAAATATAACTTCAAACTAGATATATGTCACATAAATATAAATAAGAAAAGAAGAAGTGTCTTGTCCCAAAGTAGAAGAAAGTACGTTTTATTATCGACTATAGATAGATAAGATAGAGAAAAATTGACAAAAGTTTATTATTAAGATTATTTTTAAAATTAAGCAAAATTATGATGGACTTTATCATTAACATTAATATTTTAAATTCATATTATACTCTTAGATTTTAACCTGTCGAAGCATATCTGTAGACAGATTCAACATCATTGTGAACATATAAAGCTACTAAATTGAGTGTCTAAGGTACAAGAGATAAGTTCTTTTGAAGAGACAAAGGGCTACGTTTTACTACAATATTCTGTTAGTATTCTCTAAAAATACTAGACTCTTTCCAATCATAATAAATCCTTTTCCGTAGCTTGCTTTAGCAGAAAATTTTCTTTTAACTGCTTCCTTCGCCCAACACTTACCACAAAATCTGAATAGTTCGTTGTTGGTTTTATATGTGCGCGTGTGAAGAATAATAAATAAAACAAATGGTCCCACTGTCTTCTACGTGTTGTTTCAAACGTGATAATGAGAAGTCAATGATAAAAATAACTCGATGGAGAAGATGATGGACAAAAAAAGTGGATACAACAACAACTAGTAAATAAACAACCAACTGTTCTTTAGAAGACCGGCATACACTTCACAGAAAAGAAAATTATTTTCTTTCTTTCTCGGCATGTTGAAAACATGCTGCCTTGCCGCCAACGTATAGTAAAGAAGAACGTTTTAACGTCAATTTCAGTTGAACACGTTATTTCATTTTGAATTATTTTATCAGCATGTTCTTTTATTATTTTTAAGAAACTAGATTGAGATTACAGAACAAATATTATGAAGGCAGAATGTTAAAATTTTATTAGTCGAAAAATAAACCACTTGCAAACAAGGACCACAATAGATTGTAAACTTTGTATTCAGTGTACACTCTCCCGAACAGCGTTTCTAATGACACTTGTAATCGAAAAAACTAGACTGAACCACTTTGCTCTGGATCCTAAAGTGGCAGTGATCACTTTGCAGTTTAGGGCAAAGTGGACAAAGTGATCTCAAATAAACTTGCAGCAAGTAGCTTTTGTAAAACAGTTTTTAGCTGGCATTCTAAAACGTGAACATATCTCAAATTTCTTCTGCCTTTTATAGTTGAACTTATTGTTGTTTTCATCCATATTTACGCTATTTAAAAAAACGTTTTCTCCCTAGTTGGATTGCATTTTCGATTTACCTTTTCTATGGTCTGTTAGAACTACCCAGATATTTACAATTCTGCACCATAGAGCGCGTTGCTTATGTGAATACAGTGACGGCAAAAATTATTTGTACACCTCAATCCTCTTTTTCTTTTAATCATAACTCAGTAATGAAAAAAGCTTTTGACAAGTGGTTGGCACCAAACTATTCTTCGCTCTCTCTAGTATATTTGTAGATAAAAAAAGTTAGAAATATTCATTAATGATCTTTGTAGCTCCATTAGATCGAAAAGTGAACGTTTTCCGGTCGACAAAAATTATTGGTGTGGTTGATAAAAATCTTTGTTTACACTATAACCACCGACAGAATATAAAAACTACGTTAATCGATAGAACGGAGTGCAAGCTACATTTTGGTAAAAAAATAATTTTGAAAAGCTTTTTCCTTGGGGTAAAAGCGCGACTTTAAGCCAAAAGTGCCATACCCTTCAGTGTGACTGCTGAATCTCGGGAATGAGTGAGTGAAAAAAACGTTCTGATTAAGCCATTCAAAAGAGCGTCAAAAACTGAGTACGATGAATATAGTGTGGAAGTTAAGTGAAAGAATTCGCCCAACTTTTAATATTTTGCATCTTAGAATTATTTTTGCACTATCTTTTCTGCACGGAAGGGTAAACATTTTTTGGATATACATGCATTATCATGTAGTCAAGTAGTTACTGTATACGGGTATTAAAAGAGAAATTTAGACCTTTTAAGTTGAGAGAGAAAAACGGGTTTCTGAATATTAAAACCGGCTTCTCACCAGTAAAACACATTTTCCATCAAACTAACGTCATATTCGTACTCGGCGTCAAAAACTGTGTTCGGTGATGTGTCACTCGAAGTTTAGCAAAAGTTTTCCTTTCATCTAAAAATAACGCCTGATGGCGTTTCACTCATTAAACATCTGACAGGAAAAAAAAGGCAAGTCAAACTTTTGCTAAACTTCAAGTGACACATCACTGAACACAGTCTTTGACACTGAACACGTATATGAGGTTAGTTTTTGATGAAAAATGTGTTTTATGGGTGCAAAGCCGATTTTAATGTTCAGAAACCCGTTTTTCTCTCTGAACTTAAAAAGCTCAAAAAGAAACAACAAAGAGCAACGATGAATATTTATAAAACTTTTTTTATCTACAAATATACTAGAGAGAGCGGAGAATATTTTGGTAAAATGACTTGTCAAAAGCATTTCCATTATTGAGTTATGATTAATATCTATTTAGTGTGACTTAATGTAGAACACTTCAGTATGATTTATAAGCCATAATTTTCTCTTATTTTTTTTTCTCTTATACTCTTGTTTTTTTTCTTATATTCGGTTAGACTTCGTCAAAGTTTCACCAGTTAAAACTTTTTATCTATCTCCACTGTCTTCACATCTATGACGAAATAAATTTGATTTTTTTTAAAAGAAAAAGAGGATTGGAGTGTACAAATAATTTTTGCCGCCACTGTATCTCGATGATTCTAATAGATCCAAGAACGAAAATAGGAAATGAAAGCCCACTTCTTGTTTAGATTCATAACCGTCAGCCAATGAATTTCTTTCCTCCTTTAAAAACGAAAAGTGTCTGAATCAGAGATCAGCACGGGCCGGGCTTGAGCCGCAAAATATTTTGGTCGGATCGGGCTGGGCCCGGCCGAACTTAGAATTTTTAGGCATGCGTGAATTTATAATTTATGTGTATACCCAGTACCGAGAAATCATAAAAATATAAATAATTAGCTAATATTTAGCTTGGCATCTTTAACTACTCGCCGCTCCTGAAGCCAATGACGAAATATATGAAGGACGTCAAAGAGAAAAACAAATGATTTCTCTTAGTTTTTCGAGAAAAAAATCTACGCATAACCTACTGACTTGTATTATACAAGTGCGGATTTCAGAAGTTTCGAGTCGGGAACTGCCTGTAATTAGATCTTAACAAAAAGTTGGTTTTCGTCGATCGCCACTAGTCGAGACTCTCGGCAAAACTCCAACGGGAGTCCCAAGTTTATGAAAAACTCCAGCAGGAATCGTGAGGAGTCCTGATGACTCTCGCAGGAACTTTCTAAAGTAAAAAGTCCAACATGGAGTCATGAGGAGCCCCAAAAAAATTCTTGCAGGAGTCCTGTTGGAGAAAATCATGCATGGACTCCTACAGAACTCCTCAGAGAGCAGATTGTTTTTCTTATGACTCCCATACGAGAAAGTCTGTCAAGAGTCCCTAGAAATGTGTACTCCCCGGGAGTCACCCTCCCACTCCCCAACCTGTGCAATCTCCGAGGAGTCCCTGCCAACTCTCCATTCACCGTTTGTTTTGCAGATAGACAATATATAAATATAATGTAGTTCTATGATAAAATTTTCTTTTAGTAAGTCAACATTAATGTGTCAACCTTCGATGGGTGATATGTGCTCCAGCGGTACCAGTGATAGTATCTGGCACTTAATTACTAATTAGTTACATGAAATTAAGAAGATGGATCATTAGACCCACAGGGAGTCCCCAAGGACTCTCTTGAAAATCCCCGAGAACTCCTTAGGGACTTCCTTAAGAATCCCATAGAACTCCTGTGGGAGTCTTGAGGAATCCCTCTTGAATCCCTTAAAAATCCTCCATGACTCCACAAAGGATCCTGCCGGGCCCCTGTGGCAGAACTCCTGCTGACTCCTGTAGGACTTTTTTTCCAGGACTCCTGCGGGAGATTAATCAGAAGTCTCGACTAGGGCGGCCACTTACACTAGTTTCTTTCGTCAGACGCTATAGCAAAGGTTTAGTTTCTTTTACTGAAGCTTCTGAGCTGAGTTGATGACAGATTTCGTCAAGTCCAACTCCGAAACTCCGATTAAAAATTTCTTAAATTTCGACTACACCAGTTCCAGCGGAGCGTGTTTTTTCACAATCAGGTTTTGGTTTCGATCATACCGTAGTATATGATGAAGAATATGCTTTCAAAATTAACGTTGTTGAAATGTAATTTTGATTTATTATAATGATGTTTTTTGTGCATACTATTATAAAAAGAAAACATGACTATTATACGAACAAATTAAAAGACAGGAAGGAAAAAGAACGAATAGATTTTAATTCGAAGTTGAAACGGAGTTGGAGTTGTACCTAGCCGGAGTTGCCCAGCTCTGATTGTGTATCTGTGTTATGAATTATAAGAAGAACTAGGTCAATAAGATCAGTCATGATGGCGAAACTAGTACAGATGAGAAGAAGAAAACAAAATGAAAATGTCAGAAAGCAAAGTGGCTTTCTTCATTTTCAAAATGTAAAATAGAGTGGAATTCATTTTTACAAAGTGGAAGACCACTTTGCTCTCACAAGGACCACCAAGCATTAGAAACTCTGCTCCCAAAATGTAACGGTAAATATGTAACAATGAAATGCTGAAATGTGATAATATTATGGTAAAACATAACATTATCACACTTTCAGCATGACACTGTTACACATTTAACGTCACATTTGGGGACAGTGTATACAATATAAATCTTTAATCGTACATAACAATCTCTCTACACAGATACGTTCGACTTTGAAAAATTCTCCTCTTTTATTTTACAGATGTGTGATGAGAAGTTATCTTTTCATATTACTTAGTTTGTGTTTTTTTTCTTCATTGTGCGTAGTGTTTTCAATGATTGGTGGATCATTGAATATTGATCTCATAGATATTTTTGTGGTAAAGTTGAAATTGTTGTTGTGAATTGTGTAGCACATGTATAACTAACTGGTGCATTCGACTAAGGTATAACCATATGTTCTAGACTGAAAGCAACGCGTTTAGTAGTGATAGAATAGATAGATGATCAGAATCCTTTTTATCTGAATTTAGCATTAATCTCTACACTAAATTCCGATATACGTAGTTGAGATATCCTTGAGATTGATATCTAAAATTCAGTGTATTCTAATAGATTTCAGCATGCATGGATCTGATGTATGTACTCTAAATTCAAGTGAGAAACTCTAAATTCCGATCGGAGTATATTTGTTAGCGGAAAAAAATATCAAGTATATGTTCTAGCAATTTAGCGTCTCTCACTAGAATTTATGAATGTACTGACTATCTGAACATTTCATTATGGTCACCCGCATAAAGTCGAAAGTCAATGCTCATTGCACTTATACAGTGTTCATGATGAAACTGTAGAAAATACATAATTGTTTATGTTTCGGTTTGTAACATCATTTTTATCAACGGTTGTTTCTTGTAGAAACGACAATACACGTTTCTGTTTTACCTGTAAAGTCAACATGCCTTTTTTACTCTAGATGGTATCATTATTAAAGAATTTACAACGTCGATCATCGTCTGTGTCCTTACTCAAATCATTGTTTTCTACAACGAGTACTGTAATGTCATCGTCATCGACGGCGTTTGAACAAGCAAAAGATCGTCTAGAAAAATCAAATATTGATGTAGATAATCAAGTAAAATTAAAATTGTATGGTCTTTTTAAACAGTCGACACAAGGCGCGTGTTCAATACCAAAACCAGGTTTAACTGATTTTGTTGGTAAAGCCAAGTGGACAGCATGGTCACAATTGGAACAGATGTCCAAAGAAGATGCGCAAAAACAATATGTCCAAGTTGTCAACGATCTATTAAAAGGTATATTGTAATATTGAGAACAAGAGAGAAATGATTTGTTCTAAAATTGTACCTTAGAGGCTTAATAAAAGTGAATATTCTATTATTCTGATACAATAAAACGACGAATTAATATATAGAGATCTTTATCAGAGGAAAGTAGGATGACAGTATCTTGTAATATGAGACATTTTCCATTGTGTGTTCTCTTATAAAAACGCCATTAAATGTAACAATTTAGTATTCCGTTTGTTGCTGACTGTTGGATCATTTGTAGAAATTAAAAAGCAAACATCTTTTTTCAAATCGACTTCCAATTTATTCCTATAGATGCTTTTCTACTACCTATTTGATTAAAATAATGCTTAGTTCAATTCTCTTTTTTTAGACTTACCAACATCCTCTTCTTCATCAACAGCACCCGAAGTTTCTTCCTCAAGCGCGAGGCAAACTCAAAATTCTCCGTCCGAAGAACATATTATATTAGACAAGAAATCTGCACGTCATTGGGAAATTGTATTGAATCGTCAAGAAAAGTTCAATGCTATTACTCGTCCGATGTATGAGCGTCTTATCCAGATATTTTCTGAAGCTGAAAAAGATGAACAACTCGTTCTAATTTCGCTAGTTGGTCGTGGCAGATTTTATTCATCAGGCACAGATTTAGCTGATTTTGCTAAAATGGCCACGTCGACTACAACTGATTTGAAACAAAGTGTAGAATTAGGTCAAAAGATGTTAGAAACATATATTCGGAAATACATTGAATGTTCAAAAATATTAGTGGCGTTTATTAATGGACCAGCCGTAGGTAAGGATGGTTGTTTAAAGGTACCCCTTCCCTCATTTTGGGTTCTCCGTAGAAATGTTGTGAAATAAAAACTAAACTCACTAAGACTTCATATTTTCAGAACTGATTGGAAGAAAAGAGCATTTTTTCGTTTTTGTTTCAAGTTTTTAACTATTGTCGCTCACCAGTTTTCCAGAAAACTCGGTTTTCCATTGGATCGCATTACAACTTCCCTTAAATTTCATCCGATCAAGTTAAAAATTTTACCAGAGGTACTCGAGGTCATAGCGCAGAAATGTAATTGTGCAATTTTATTTTAGGCGTTTCTTTACCGAGTTATAGGAAAGATACCGAAAAGCTTTTACAAACCAAGTTTTTAAATTTTAGAAACCCTATAACTCGGTAAAGAAAGGTCTAAAATAAAATTCCAGAACTATACCTCTACGCTATGACTTTGAGTATCTCTGGTAAAATTTTTAACTCGATCGGATGAAATTTAAGGGAAGTTGTAATGCGATCCAATGGAAAACTGGTGAGCGACAATAGTTAAAAACTTGAAACAAAAACGAAAAAGTGCTCTTTTTTCCAATCAGTTCTGAAAATATGAAGTTTTATTGAGTTTTAGTTTTTATTTCACAGTATTTCTTCGGAAAACCCAAAATGAGGGAAGAGGTACTCTTAAGAGCAAAATGAAGAACAATACTATTTATGTTTTTCTTCTATTCTAGGTATAAGTGTCAGCGTATTAGGACTCTTTGATGGCGTCTATGCTTCGTCATCTTCTTCCTTCATTACACCGTTTACTCGTACTGCCCAATCAGCTGAGGGTTGTTCATCGTACACATTTCCTCGTTTGATGGGTTCTTTACATGCAAAAGAAATGTTACTATTTGATCGAAAACTCACTGCACAAGAAGCGTATGAGCGTGGTCTTGTAACAAAAGTTATTGATGAATCATCCTTTGATCAAGAAAAACAAAAAATTTGTGAACATATTTTGTCTTTACCAAGAGGATCATTGCTACAATCGAAAAAACTCATACAACAATGGAATATAGAGACATTGGTTAAAGTAAATGAACAAGAAGTAGAAACATTAAAGCAAAGATGGTTAACAGAAGAATTTGTTCAAGCAATGATGGAATTTATGAGATCAAGAAAAAAATCAAAATTATAAAAGTAGTACTTGTATATCGAAGATGCATATTAAAGTTTGTGATCTTTTGAAGTGTGATATAAACTTCTTGTTCAAAATTATATTGACAGAAAAACTCATATAATGAAGAATTTTTTGATATTAAAGTGTGTACTACTGTTAAGACCTTGTATATTTGTTGATTTACTCGTTTAAAAACGTTTTCCTCTACTAAAGACCTCTATATATTAACTCTTTGTTTCATTGTATCAGAATAATAGAACACTCACGTTTCTTGAGCAAACTTTTTTGTTATTTTCGACTAGGTAGAAAAAGTAAGTTTAGGCAGGTAAATAATGGTACCGATCAAAGCGTCTTCATTCAATGATACAGACGTATAGTTTATCAACATGTCAATCAATGCTTTGATTATGATTTTTGAATTTTTTCTAGATTTTTTAAGTTATCACTATTTATTTCTAAATCCTGTCTGGCATTTGTTTACTTTTTTGCAACTGCACGTATTACTCTCTTCTCTTCTAGACGAATTATTGATTTTTTGTGATTTTATCGGGGAAAAAAACACTTTTTTTAAATTCTGTTCTCCTTCAGTTCTTCTTACTAATTATGTTAGCTATTTATTTTGAATATAAACAAACAATAGCCTCTCATTTTTTTCCATCATTCTCATCCATTTCCAATTAGAAAAGGCAGCATAAACAATCTAACGATGAAATTTCTTGGAGATAAGAATTGTATAAGTTAACAAGTTATATGTCTTTGTAAAAATCATGTTTTTCTTGAATATGAATCTTTGAATTCTTTCGTTTTAGATGATTAATTCACCAGTGACATCTCCAACTCAATTACCTCGTTACTATTTTGGTCCGAGTGATTTGTTAACTCGTCATATTCAATTAGTAACAAAAGATAATACACTCGATTTTACAATAACGGGAGGAAATGGTATGGAGCCAATTCATGTGACCGGTGTTGTTTGGGGATCACAAGCGTATTTACAAGGCATGCGATCGGGCGATGAAATTGTTAGTGTTAATGAAATACCCTTTAAAGATATTACCTATTCACAGGCCATTGGAGTATGTATTATATATATATATTATTCCGTTTCGTCCTCTCTTGGCCGAAGCTGTTTGAGAATATGCATATTTGCAACGATGTTTTTCTACTTCTTTCTTTGTTTCGCGATCTTTTCGAGCAGCCTGAGATCTTCAATCGACTTCAGTTGATTTGGTAGATTTAATTGTTTTGAACGATCGGGTAACTGTGTTGTTATTAGTTGGAGATCTTTGTCGATTGTTATTGGTAGGGTTGATCTTGGTCGACCTCTAAATCTACTGGCTATTGTGTTGAACTATTGAAGCATTGCATATTTGGCTGAAGTTTTGTTGGTCATTCTAAGAACGTGTCCTAGCATTTTCCATCGAGCATTGCGTATAAATAGTGCCAGTTCATCGGCATCGCATCACTTGTATAGTTTTTCGTTCGAGATGGTCTTCGGATATTATATACCGATTACTGAACGAAGTTGTTTGCGATGAAATGCTTCAAGTTCGTTGATTTCTGATTGAGTAAGCGCTCAGATGCACATGTTGTACGTTAGGATTGGCTTCATGTACGCATTGTAGAGCCGGATAAGTTTTTTTTCGCTGATTTTGTTGTTTTTGTTGCTCTAAATACGCCATAAGTTCTTGAGTTTTGCAGCTGCTAGTTGTTTTCATCCATGCAGTTCTTCATTATCGTCGAGTAATGTGCCGAGCTTTTTTACTTTTCTCCAGTTTTGATGTAAACGTAGTTTATTTAATGTGGGGGGCAATCGAATCATTATAGCGCCTACGGCTAGTAAAAGCTCACAACTTAAAAAAACACAGAGAAAACAGGGTGGAAAGACAAATAAAAACGAGAAGTAGAGAATGAGAAAGAAAGAAAAATTAGGAATAAAGAAGATAAAAAGAGGAAAAAAAAAACATTTATAGAAATCTTCTGTTATGTATTAGCATATTTAATTTTTTATTTGAATTCGGCACATCTATTAGCAATATTTCTATTTTCTTAAATTTTATTCTCTACGTGTTTAGGTATTATATTCATCACCTTGTTTGGATATCATTCTTCGTGCATCACAAGATCATCCGTTAGATACTACACTTTACAATTGGTATAATCCGACATTAAAACGTACCACGTCGCCACCCCCAAAAAATTATTTAGCATCAAATACACAATTACATTATTTTCAAAAAACAGTACGTAACTGTAGTAGTACGCTCGTTGTATTTATGAATAGGATATAATTCTTCATTGTTAAATGGATAGTTTTCATATCTTATTTTTTTCGTGAACATTTTGTTATAACATATGTCTCATGGCATAACACAAATTTCCTCATTGGAAAATATATTCTTAAAATTTATTCACATTTTTGTTCTTGTGTTCTAGGTAAATTTACATGCTCGACCCGGCCGACGCTTGGGACTGAGTATTCGTGGTGGAACCGAATTTGGGCTTGGTATATTTGTTAGTGGAATTGATAAAGATTCGTTATCCGATCAAGCTGGACTAAGAGTATATACTACTAATAGTACAATTTCTATCATGGTTAATTAATTCTGCCATATTACTACTTATAGGTTGGTGATCAAATATTAGAAGTAAATGATATTGATTTTTGTCATATAAATCATAGTGATGCTGTCCAAATCTTGCAAACACATAATCAAATGAAAATTCATATAAGACAATTAGATAAACTGCCATTACCAAAACACCAGCAACAAATATCAATACAACCAAGGTAAAAGAAATTAGAAAAATATCCAGTATGCACATAAAAAATATGAAATATCTTCGTTTTTGTTTTATAAAATCGAGTTTAAGATTTTTTTTCTTAAAATATTATTTGTTTTAGTCGTGTATCATCGCCTATTCCACAAAAATATTCGACAACAACAACTCCTCTCGCATGTGATATTCTCCCTCCTAAATCGCATCGTGTTATTCAACAAGATCAACGTAGTCACCATTCATCATCGTATGAATCACTCATTTTAGCCGATATTAATCGTCAATTAACGAAAGATGACTATTCCCACGAAGCTTTAGGGTTAATCAATTACTATCTGACATCTTATCTGCAACGAAAGATAACCATTGATGATATGATACAGCCTTTATTAGATTTGATCAAGTACAGACAACATAAAGTATGTTAAATAAAATATTGATGTGTTATAATAAGATAGTCCGTTACTTCATTAAACTCTATCGATAAATAAAAGGTTTTATATCACTCTCTTGCATACTTTTTGTACTCTAGTCAATGTTTGTCATTTAAAGAATCGAGATATTTTATATCATATACTTTAATCCGTATGTAATAGTTATAGTTGTCGATATCCATATATGTCATCAATGTCAAAAATATATTAAGTAGTATTAAAACATAGAACGATAAATAGTAAATGATGCCAATGCACTCATGGATTATTTAAATTCGGTATTTGTCTCTTGTTTTTCGATTATTCATCAATTGTAACACCTTTGAAAAGAGTGAGACTCACAAATTGAAAGGATTGAAGAATGGTAAAGAGCCAAAACTATCGTTGACGTCTTTTTCTAGTCCGTTAGTAATCTTAATCGAATAAAATTAGCAATGTGTTCAACTTTCTTGCTCTCGGGTCCTGGTATTTATTTTCGTTGGGATCGATTGCATTCTTCTACTGCTGAAGTTCGTTGTTGCCTGTTTTTTTATATCTTTTACTAATATCATTTTTCACAAATTTAGCTGCGTCAATTACAACTATGTTGTATCCAAATTTCATATCGATTATCGTCTTTTCATATTGACATCTCCTTTCTCTTCTGATATCGTTTTGAATTCAACAATGTATCTGTTTTTCGTCAGAGGGAAGTTAACTACCACTCTCTTGTATATTAAGTGGCGCTTCGATGTAGGCATGCACCAGTTGTATAACTAATATGAGGACATTCAGAAAAATGGTTATAGCGCGGTTATTAAGAATTGTTCAAATTTGTGGAACGTCTTATTTTGTAGACAAATATTTTTTCGATCTATTTGTTGAAACAAAAAAAGTTTAAAGTTAATTGTGACAAAAATATGAACATTCTTAAATGCCATAACTGTGCGTGATAATTGGTCATCAGTTATATAACTGTTCATGTCTCCTCAGTAATTCGTTAAAAACGTCTCTCTTGTTCAACTTTTTGATTTTATCTTTCATACAAATACATAGAACAAACATTTGTCTACACAATGAGGCGTTCCACAAGTTTGAGCGATTCTTAATAAATGCGTTATAACAATTTTTTTTTCTCGATACCCCAAAAAACAGTGGGAAATAACTGGTCCGTAGGTGGTACACATTTACTCCGAGGCTTTCAAAGCAGAGGGTGAGCACAAATTTTCGGAGTAGAAATTCTATTTGTTTCAAAGATCGCAGTAAAATACACTCAGTAAAAGTTTAAAAAGCATTAGAAAATTCGTCTTTTTAATCGGGATACTCTTGTGTACATGACTTTGTTCGAAAGAATTCATCCTTTTTTCTGTGGTAAACTTTTGATTTATGTTTTTATTTTTCTATTATAGAATCATTTATTGGAATTAATCCGTGATTTAATTCGTTATGAAGACATTGATCGTTTTGATATTCATACACTAAGAGAAGATTTAAGTAGTTTAAAGGTTTGTAAAATGAAATTATAATGATTTATTCCATTTAAACTCAAATACTGTTACTTTAGTTCTAATCTTTAGTAATTAATTTAGATAAAACCATGTCTGTAAGTATCTTTTTTTTCTCAGCGTATAACAATAGTCCATAGCTCGTGTTTTGTATTTATTTGTTTTTTTTCTAAAACTTAGCAATAATCAGAACTAGCTGCTAGTGTCACTAATTATTATCAATGCTTTGTGTTTTGCCTTATTGTTATTAAGTAAAAGATATGCATGTGCTTGTTCATTTTGTGTGTAATAATATTTTGGGTTATTTTACTGAAAATTAGTTTATTAACAAGGTCATAGTGAGTGCAATAAAACGTGACGAGAAACAAAGAGAGAAGTCAATTATTGTTCTAAAGTGAACACATAGAATTACTTCTTTTTTTTTTGAAATTTTAATGGTACTTTGACTCTTTTTCTGTTTGTATGGTTATTGATTAAAAAATAACGATTTAACATCTACGTAGTATCTGTTATAATGTTTTCTTATTGAAATGGTACACTAATTTTTGAAAATCAATCTTCACATTTCTAGTATTATCTACTCATGTTCTGCATAGACATTAACTTCGTGTATCATCAATTAAGGCACTCTCGTCGTGGTACATGTGGTTAAATGGATTTTATCGATTTCTCGAACATTGGGTCTACTTTCAAAAAAGTATTTGTCTTTTTTTACACGCGTCATTGTATGAGAAACATTATTTAGTACGAATATACAGATACAGAAAAGGTAGATGGTGATGACTAACAACGATCGTGTGTGAGCTTATCATAATCAACTCACTTTAAAAAGTTCAGTAATGCACATTACACCAGTACAATAACAACTAGTAACACATTCTATTTATCTAACAAGAAACAATCGTACTTTATTTACATTCATCATCTCACCGTTTTTGTTATGTTAACGTTAACTGTGTATCTTCTTTAATAATTTCACATTTGTAATATTGTATATTCCTTTTAGTTGGCACATGACCGTTTATTACGTCAATCACTATCAGCAACTATGTCTCCGTTAGCGATGGTAGAATATATTGGTATACAAATTTTTTAATCCTCTATGTTACTCTCTATTTTAGTCTCAATCTGCTGGAAATCTTCAATACCGTCGGTATCCATTATCATCATCAACGAATAATTATATAAATGATAATAATCGAAATGCTAAAAGTAGAGATACAAGTCCGAATGTAAATAGTTTCTCTTTGTTCATATTTATTATCATATTACACTAACTATTTTGTATGTTTTCTAGAGTGTTTACAAACAAAATGAACGTATATTAACACCAAAATCACTTCATTCTGATAGAGTTAGTCACTATGAACTTGATTGAATTAAAATATTATTTCTGTTCTTTGTTTGCTCTATAGTATGAAAATGAATTAAATCATTTATTGATGAATTCAACAGTACAAAATAATCAAGAAAATCGCTCTCAATGGTTAAGTGATAAACATCATTATCCACATACGTTTACTTCAGTGCCATCTCCTAGCGTTCTATCACGAACAAATTCTCCAGTACAAATAAAAAAAGCAAAAAGTTCAAGTAATGTTGGACAGAGTAATAGTTCACAGACATCACCAAGAATACGAAAGAAAAATGTAAATTAAAAATACTATTCTTCTGTCTAATATAAGATGACATCACTCTTTTATAGCTGTTTCAAATTGAACAATCACATGCAGATTTATCGATAAACGATAAAGAAACTATTGACAATTTCTTAAAAGTAAGCATATAACTGAAGAAGCATCATATAATGTTCATGACGATATTTTTGTTCTACTTTCAGGAATATAGTGAACCGTATCCTATAACTATTCATAAAATTCGTTCCACATTAGGTATTGCTATTGAAGGAGGATTAAATGATAGAATACCGATACCAAGAGTTGTCAACGTACAGGTATTTAATAATAATCTTATGAGTTTTTCATATCTATGTAAAGCTTTTCATCTCTCGTTCTTTTTTTGGTGTAATGATCTTATTGAACGCTAAACCAAAGTAAAAAGATATATTTTATTTTAAATCTATAATCGTTATTCTAGCATGATGGTTCGGCTTATTTATCGTCTGGTTTACGTGTTGGACATTTAATTTTGGCTTTAAATGGTTATTCAATGAAAGGTTTCTTACATCGTGAAGCAGCCATGTTTATTGCAAGTGCATTCAAAGATGAATCAACATCAAAAATGATTTTAACGGTTTCAGAACCCAAACAATAAACTTTCACTTATTTTTATTTGTTCTTTATCTCAGGTTAAGACTATTCGCTATTGCTTACTCATTCTATAGACGCTTGTATTTTTGTTACTTTATATTTAATTTTTGCTGAAAATTGAGTTTATGCAACAAGAAAAGGAGACTATCGTCTCATCTTTGTTTGTGACCGTTACGTTACATTCCTCCTCTTAACAGATTTTTGATAAAGTTTTATTTATTCATTTCATTAATCAGAATATTTATTTGTTCGATTCATTGAGCTAACGAAACCATTGCTATTTTTTTGTTCCTTGCGGTTTTGATTTCGTTTTCTAATTCATTTTAAATTAAACAAATCATTTTGAACAAAAATATCAGTAGTGTCATGCTTTTTATCTACTATCTCTGCGTATGTTATTCAGAACAGTGTTATGCATATTGAATTTTCGTTTCTGTCTACATAGAAACTATTTAAAAGTCCCATACAAACAAATGAAATGATTTTTGTCGAGTGTGTGTGTGTGTGCTTATGCTTGTGTGGTTTCAGGATAGAGTAAAAACATTCGAATTATCTAACTTCAACCAATATTCAGCTGATGAAAGTAGGCACATGATTTTCTTGTGTTTTGTTTTCGAATAGTAACCAGTTTAGTTAAAAAAAATACTGGACTCATTAAGTCGGATATAAGCTGACTGTCAGTTGACCTTTTCATTCGAATTAAGGTCGTTTTATCGATTCATTTTTATGTCTCTCACAGCGTTCAAGGTATTAAACGGTGTTGGGACGAGAAAAACTTTGTGTAGAACGTGACAGAAATGTTAAACTTGTTCAATGTTTATATTTTTAGATCATAAAATGATTGCTACCAAATAATTTTTATTTAATAAAAGAAAAAGTGTGTCTTCATTGATAATGCTGAATGAATAAGAAAAAAAATTCAAATATGAAACAGAAAATAATGATAAGTACATAGCTTCGATTTGTCAATTCTTTTTATATGGAAAATAACGCGGTGAACAATCACTTTGAACGCCTTCTAATGAAGAAAATAAGATGAATAGGAAAAGTGTTCACCTAATAGACACAAATATTCAGAAATTTGTTTTAGTCTTTTTTAATTGAACAGCATGTTTTAAATATTGTTCGCTACCTACTTCAGACTTCATTACTAAGTGCAAGTTACACAGTGCAAGTTATTCTGTGTAAGTACATGAAAAAATTTGTTTACATTCATATTTTTTGGATATTGAATTGTTATTCATCATTAAAACATGTTCACATAGTGAATATTTTAAGATACTTGATCTCGATGTTAAGTATTTTGTAAAAATCTTTATCTAACGAGGGAACCCCACGAAGTGATTAAACGCTTTTTGCTCGGAATCTAGTGGGTGATAGGTTATCGACCATGCTGATTACGAATACGACCATGCGGCTTCCGCATAGCCCTTCGAAGACCTGGTTTTCTAGAAAACGAGTTTTTCAGAAACCCCCAAAAATAACCCGAACCGTTCTTAATGAGGCATGATTGTAGCCCGCAAATTTCTG